AAGCATTTTGAGATGTTCACTCAATAAAACATCTTCCAAGTAAACTATACTGTGACAGTTTGCCAAAATTAATGAAGAAACCTAAACATAAAAAATGTACAAACAAATAAATGCAAACAGTTTTATAATTTTTTTTTTACTAATAATCCATACTTATAAAAGAATCAAATGTCGAAAATTGTTTGTAATACTTTAATGTCAATTGTGATTGTTTGCAATTTTGATTGATAAATTTATTATTATATATCTTTAATTTATCATTACATGCATAAATAAACTTTAGATGAAGTGTATCAACATTATATGGCATATATTAACCTTTTTTGAATTGATGAAATATACATTGACCTTTACCTAACATGAAATATAATTGACCATCAACTAACATGAAATATACAATAACCTTTACCTAACATGAAATATACATTAACCTTCACTTTACATTTAAAATTTATTATTACATGTCATATTAAATATATAACATATATTAAATTTTCATTTAATTTATTATACATTTATTATATATACATTAACTTTATATGAAATGCATTGACACATTACATGGCATACATTATTCTCCACTTTACATAAAGTATAAATTAACCTTCACTTTACATGATTTGTATCAACATATGTTCTACATTACCCTTCGCTTTACATGATGTGTGTCAACATTATATTACATGCATCAACCTTTACCTTACATGAAGCGCAATAACATTAAATGTGATTTGTTATCATACATGGCACTTATTGATGTTTGTTTAACAAAAAATGTATCAACATTACATGCCATATATTGACCATCTCCCTACATGATTTATTGGTCATTTATTGACCTGAATCAAATTAGTGAAAGGGAAGAAAAGTAATTTATAATAACTAAAAACTGTTTTATCATTTAGATATTCAAAACTACTTTGCAGGCCAGGGTCAATTGATGGAGATTTCCGCTGATTACTTTAGAAGATATAAATTCCATTAACACTTTCAATGTAGGCACAGCTAAACATCTTTGTATAAAAAACGGTTGTTCAAGAAAAAAGCCATTATTAAACTCTTGGCTTGATGACTTCATGTAAAGTTTTTGAAAATCTTCTTCATTCATTGATTGATTCTAAAACAAAAACAATATCATTTAGAGAAAAACTATAATAAAATGTAAAAGAAGAGAGAAATAATTTTTTTTTTAACTCACAAAACTTACTTCATCTGTTTCCTTAGTTTCCTTTGATTGCGTAAAATAATTTTTTGGCAATTTATCAAACATCTGCTTTTTCAACTTTTCTGAGGATAAGGTATTATTATCCATAGAATTAGAATCATCTGAAACAGATTTTGGCAAACATAGATATTCCCAAGGACTTAAGTAGCTATAAACTTTAGAATCTAGAAGAAAAAAAAGATAAAAATAAAACAAATGCATTTACTAATAGCATTTATTAAAAAAAAAAAAATTAACAACTTCAATTTATTTATTTAAAAAAAATTTATATAAAAAAAGCAAAAATTAGCTTAAGTACACAAACACAAAAACTGAACTTTTTAATCACTTAAAACTGCAACATGTTCTTCAAATAAAATTTTGATGCCAGTGATAGTTGGAGTTTATTTTCTGTATTAAAACACTTGTTGGTATTTTTTCTCCCAGTAAACTGATATAAACTTATTATTATCTTATAAAACAACACATAAACACATAAAAAAAAAATAGTAACAAAAATTTTAAAGCTCGAGACCTGGACATAATGTTGTTAAACATTTCCATTGATTTACTAAAGAGTATAAATAAAGACAAACTGACCATTGGTAATTAAGCACGAAGTTTTAGTTTTAGAATTTTTTTTTAATTTTTTAATAATTAACTATACTATAACCGCTGAAAATTTTGAAAATTGAGAAATCAACAAACATGCAAAAATTCAGTATAAAATTGGCAGAAAAACAAATGCCCAGTTCCCTGATTTTTTTAGTAAATTTTTCTTTTTAAAAACTAAAAAGTTTTGTTAATCTTATTTTAATTACTTATTACTTTAGAATGAATAAAACTTTTACTTTGCCATTTCATTTTATTCATTTTATTAGGAAGTTAAAAAAATGTCCTTCTGCCTTGTAGGATACGCATTTTGAGGCAAAAACTAGAAGATGCTAACTCTGAAATAAGAACATATAACAAATAAGAACCACCTTGGGGCTATTGGTTTGAGCAGAGTAAAAACTAAAATCTATTAGGCTGCTGTAGATGTATTTAAAATACGTTGTTTTCAGTTTAGGATGTTAAATGCTGAATCTTCTTGACTCATTGCATGGGTTTTGCTTGTTTCTCCAATTTTTTATGACTAAACAACTCATTCTATTATCTCCTAACAAGGGTACAGCTCTAAAACTTAATCTTATGTTTTTGAGACCGGCTGGTGGTCAGGTTTGCCAAACTCTGTGGTAGCTCTCAGAGAGGCTGATTCCATCATATGCTGTATAATATTAAAGTATTAACAACGCCATGTTGCGCATGGATGGCATCCCTGTTTGTACTTTTCACGTGCATTTTCAAGGAAGATTTTGGAGCCCTTTGTTACAGGTTAGGGTTTATTAACAGTTATGAGGCAATTGCTTGGACTATTGAATAGTGTACTGAGTACTATCTGTGCTTTGAGCAAAGTTATTTAGCCAATTTAAAAAATCATTGAAGTACCAAAAACTAAAAAACGCAAAAAACTAGCTTCATCATCAAGTTCTCTGAATCTATCATTCACTAATATTCGTGGTCTTTGAAATAACTTTTCTTCTGTTGAGTCTTATCTCTTATCTAAGTCTTATCTAAGTTCAACAGACCTAGTTGCTCTTTGTGTAACTAATTTGTGTTCAGCTGTCTCATCTTGTGATCTTAATGTTGATGGTTAAGACTCCAATAGTCACATGCTTAGCCTGATCATTTACATTTGTAAAAATTTACAGATTTATCGGGAAACTAGGTTTTAATCCACACTATTCTTTCATGTGCTTTTATTTAGCACTAAATCACTCTATCACCTTTCTCTTTGTTCTATATCATTCTCCTTTATCTCAAGACTGCACTCTTTTTAATGTTGTTGTTGATCACCGAGCCCTTTCTCTTTATCCTTCAGCCAATATTCTTGTTGTTGGTGACTTTAATGATCATCACACTGAATGACTTAGTTCTAGTGTCAGTAACTCTGCAGGTGTTAAGGCCCACAACCTTTGCCTTTCTCATTCTCAAACACAAATAGTCAACTTTCCAAACTCACTTTCCAGACAATACAAATTATTTACATTCTCTAACTGGCTTATGTTTTGTTTTTGATCCTAGTCAGTGCTCAGTTTCACCACATTTACCCTTGGGTGCTTCTGATCAGGTTTAATCTCTCTAAAACTATTATCTCATTCTTCATCGTCATCATAATCCCCCTATCATTGTACCTCTTACAACTACTTTAAAGATAACTTGGACACTTTCCATGATCAAAAGGATCTAATCTCTGCTACAGCATGGGGCTCTCAGTGACTGGTGAACTTTAACTCAGATAAAACTCAATTATTTTCAGCTAATCATTATCGCAAAAAATCTAGATCTTCATATATTTATGAATGGTAATGTACTCGATGAGTCATCTCCTTTTTGTTTGCTAGGATTAAATTTTACTTCCAATCATTCTTTAAAACCATATATTGAATCCTTTGCAAAAATAGCATCTGCTAAAGTTGCATCTCTTTATTGTGCTCGAAACCTTCCTATTCGGGATTCTATTCTTTATCTCTTTAAATCTCAAATCTGTCATAGGAATGGAATACTGTTATCATATTTGGAGTGGAAGATTTTTTACATCTTGTTTTCCTGATTCCTCTGTTAATCGTTATCTTGCTCTCTCTCTCTCTCTCTCTCTCTCTCTCTCTCTCTCTCTCTCTCTCTCTCTCTCTCTCTCTATATATATATATATATATATATATATATATATATATATATATATATATATATAGCCACAAAATAAGTAGCCTCCTTGTCTGTAGTGGCCTTCTCGGCCTTGAGGAGGTGAATTAAAATAAATAAATAAATATATATATATATATATATATATATATATATATATATATATATATATATATATATATATATATATATATATATAAATTAGAATTTAAATAAAAATGTTTGTTTTTTGCAGAATTGCTTTCATTTTCACTGTTTTGTTTAGAAATCAAATATAGCGTTCTTAATTCCATTTTTATTTTTCATTTACAATTGAAATAAAATGTTCATTTTAGCGTTTTTGTTTTATTAAGAATTTGGATAAAACATCGCCATTTTCCGTTGTATTTTTTTGTAATATTTAATTTAGAATATAATTAAAATGTTTTTATTTTTTTATTTTTATTATAATTATTTAATTTTGAATTTAAATAAAATATTCATTTTTCAGTTTTTATTTTAACTATTATAATTAGAATTTAAATAATAATTTTGTTTACCCAGTTTTTTTAAAATAATGTTATTCAAAATTTAAATTAAAAGTTTGTTATTTTTGTTTTTATTTATATTACTTTATTTAGAATTTAAATAAAACTCCTGTTTCGCCTTTTTTCATTTATTTGAATTAGTAAACATAAGTTTTAAACTCTCATATCAGCAAAAATATGCCACTCTCAGGTCGGCAGTTGATACAGAATTGCCAAATGCAGACCCATATTCTGAGTGCTGAATATGACACTTTTTTATACTTTTTTATAAATGAATTAGAAAATATCACTCAAACATGAATGTGATAATGCAACAGTAATAAAATAAAAAAAAACCTGATGATTCTAACAAAGTGGATAACACCAACAGTAACCAATCAACCATGCTTGGATTACATTGAAGTTCAGAAGATGTTTTTGGGTGTAAAAGAACATTCATACTATCATGCAATAGAATAAGAAATTTTTCAAGAACAATATCTTTATCTTTTGTTGAGCTGATTAATTGAGCTAGACGCTTAAACAATCTAAAAGTAAAATATAGTACTAATAACAAAATGTAGAAGCAGTGATAATCAAGTAAAGCAGTGATAACCAAGGACAGTCTCTAATAAAATTGGAGGCATAAAGAACATTGTGACCAACATTGTGAGCAACATTGTCAGGCTTGGTCGGGAAGCGGGTGATCACACTCGATAACTGACCACGAAAATAATATTTAGTTGCGAAAAACCGGCCAGATTTTTTAATCGTTTTGAGAACATTCAAGTTCATGTATGTTTCCTTGTTTGTCCGCAAAATAATTATTAAGTTATTGTAAATCTTGTATTACGGACTTACACGGAAACATACATAAACTCAAATGTTCTCAAACTTTGTGCGGAAAAATAAAAAAAAGAATATTCGCGATAATAAATAATAATACAAAAAACCCGCCAAATCTACTAACAACTAATTCTATTGGTTCAAAAAATACTAGCGGAAATTTCTAGAGAGTTCTGTTAAATTACTTAAAAAAGTTGTATTATTTGAGTTTTGTTATGTTTCGTCGAGATTTCTAGCATAATTAGTTTTAACAATATACTATCAAACAAACTTTTATTTTAATACTATGTCATTCTCGAAGCCACATCAACAAAGCTATAAATGTTTTAAACTAACATTAACTGTTTGCAAAAATTAATGTTTTAAATTTATGTTTTTAAGTTCTTAGAAAGAAAAGTTCTTAGAAATTGGTTAACTAACTTCAATTACCTTCAATTACTTTTGCTTCAGCCATTCTTACAAACTCGTTATACTTAACTCTTTTCTGTTTTAAATACTAATTAAAATTATAAAGCCCACTCACTAAACATTATCAGCGTTATTGTGAAGCAGTTCCGCTTCCTCCTCACTAAGTAATTTAACGTTTTTACTTAATTTCTATCTAGTTAATTGAATTTCTACAGTAACTCAATGATTTAATTATTTCCTTTGTTTATCTTACTAAAAAGAAAAGTTTCAAATGTGTTAAACTTTTTAAACTACAATTAACAATTATCGAGTGCGATCGCACCCGCTTCCCAACCAAGCCTGCATTGTGAGCAACATAGCTTTTAAGCCCTAGTTATATAGATTTTTAAAACTAAAAAAATTTAATCTATTTTTGAAAACCTAAGTGTTATTGTTACCTTATTTGTTATTTGCTATTGCCTGTTACAGACTTTGTTATTTGCATTATTTTGTCAGTCTTTGCTCGTTTATTCAGATTAATCATAAATCATTCTTTACTAATTAAACTTTTCATAAAAAGATGTTTATTGACTGCAAACCACAGTTAAAAAGTCAAATAAAATAAATTTAAAATTTAATATAAATAGATGGGGAACCCATCTGCAAAATAAACAGAAGTCACAAAAATAAAAATTTTGAGGTAATTTCATTTTCACATTCTATATGCTGAAATCTATTGTTCATTTTAATATTAGATCAATGGAAAGTTTTTTTGTTCTATAAATAAACATAAAAAATACCTATTTCTTTACCCACTATAAGTAGTACAGTTATTTTGTCATTTTCTCAAAATCAATTTAGATAGACCTAAAGTGTTTTGCAGATGAGCTAATTAATTATTTTTAACATAATTAATACTAGATTATTTATGACTAATATTAAAATCTATTATTAAAAATGCTAATAATTAAAAGACCTTTAGAAGTCACTTTTGAATTCATAATTTTGTGTAAATTAACCAACATTTTTAAATTCTAATTTTCTAATATATATTCATCAATACCTCAACTCAATCTGTACTTAGGGAGATTTTTATCCATGAACACCTCAACTTATATAAAGAGGCAGATTTGACATTATTTTTATGTTCTTACATTTCAATTTATTTATTAACAATAATAATATATAATAATACATTTTATATATTTATATATGAATATATATATACATATATATATATACATATATATATATATATATATATACATATATATATATAAATATATATATATATATATATATATATATATATATATATATATATATGGGTGTGTGTGTGTGTGTGTGTATATATATATATATATATAATATATATATATATATATATATATATATATATATATATATATGTGTGTGTGTGTATATATATATATATATATAGTGTGTGTGTGTGTGTGTGTGTGTGTGTGTGTGTGTGTGTGTGTGTGTGTGTGTGTGTGTGTATATATATATATATATGTGTGTGTGTGTGTGTGTGTGTATATATATATATGTGTGTGTGTGTGTGTGTGTGTGTGTGTGTGTGTGTATATATGTGTGTGTGTGTGTGTGTGTGTGTGTGTGTGTGTGTGTGTGTGTGTGTGTGTGTGTGTGTGTGTGTGTGTGTGTGTGTGTGTGTGTGTGTGTGTGTGTGTGTGTGTGGTCAAATCATTATATTTCAACCAATTTGAAGAAAACTTAGTGGGTCATCATTTCTGATTTTCCTGATTTTTACATATTGTTATGTGCAGTATGTAGATATGTTAAATTTGAAATTTCAGACTTCCAAGTACAACGGTTCAGAAATTACAGCCTTAAAAACATGAAACAAGTGGCCCCCCTTAATTTACAAATGGTCAAAAAATGCTTTCAATTTAAAATTAATTTAGATATTTAGATAATAAGTATCTAAATATCTAAATTAACTAAGAGAGCTTAATTTGAACCATAATAAAAGTCTCTAATAAGTTACTGCCCCTTTATTTGTGCCCCTATCTACTATAAAGACCAGATCAAGGAGGGGGCAACTACCTATATATTTCTTTTTATTATGAAATGACTTATAATTAGTTGCACCCTTCACATAGGCCAATAGGCAGATTAAAAGGGGCATTGGTTTCTGGTAACACATTCAACCATTGATAACTGAAAAATTGGGTTATTTAAAAAGGCTGGCATTTTTGGTGCGAATTTGACAAGTTTATAATGTTTGCATTTTCAGATAGTTGGGTCTAATGATCTTATATGCTGTTAATATCAGATCAAAACAAAGCATTAGTAAAATTTACAATCATCTCAAAATGGCTGAAAATTGGATTTTTGGAAATTGAACATTTTACTTTTAGATATAGTTGAGTTCTAAACTGCAACAAGCTGCCTATATTTTGCCCATTTATTCAAGACAGTAGTAGCTAATCAGAAAACTTATCTGTAAATATTTGTGGATTAATAGAAAAATGCTACAATTAGTTTCATTCTGGCATATTTTTGCAACTTTGGAAAAAATCTTTGGAATGCAATTTTAGGATTTTTTCCAAAATTTTTTCCTAATTTTTCTCTAATTTAATACAAAACCAATTTAATACAAAGATTTTACCATAAAACATAGAAAAGATGTCCCCAATATGTTGCTTCCCTCAAACATTTCAAATTTAGCAAATAACTTTTTAAGTTCAGCAGTTTGGTTGACACTGTCAAATGTTGACCTTAATTTCGAAGGTTGTATATATATATATATATATATATATATATATATATATATATATATATATATATATATATATATATATATATATATATATACATATATACATATTTTACTAAGTAATACTGCCTTATCTAAACTTTACATATTATCTATAAATACATAAATGTTTTACATTTTCTATAATTTATATAATTAATAATATATAACTTATATTATAAATACTGTAACTGATATTATAAGTTATAATATAAGGTTTTGCATGAAAAAATGTTTAAATAGTAAGTAAATAGTGTTAGATAAGGAGTATAGTGTCAGGTCAGAAGTATGGTCTTCATGATCATCCTGCTACTGGTAACATGTAACCCAGTGCAACCTGTTCCACGTTCTGCTGCCTTGCAGAATTTGCTTTCTAAGCAAAGGCTGGAAGGAGTTTGCTTCCTGTCAACAGTACTATCTTATATCAGTCATACCTATAGTAATATTTTTTTTTTATATAGTTGGAGGTGCCTTAGTTACTGTATTAGTTCACCTGTAATCTACTTTATATGCATGTTTGTGTTCTGTCTGAACCTCTGGTGCGGTGTTCGCTCACCCATAAGTTACTTTATGTCTTTTATGTATGTCTGTGTTCTGTCTGAACCTCTGGCGCGGTGTTCGCTCACCCGTAAGTTACTTTATGTTTTTTATGTTTTTTTATGTATGTTTGTGTTCTGTCTGAATCTCTGGCGTGGTGTTGACTCACCCATAAGTTGATTTATGTTTGTTTGTGTTCTGTTTATTCTCTGATGCAGCGTGAGCTTAGTAACTAGCTACTTACTCCAACTACAAAACCTACACTCACCTTAGACTCCTGTATTTTGTTAGATGCAGTGTTTATCCTAATGCACTTTCAAAATGTCATGCCTGGTTTTCTCAAAGTACTGTTGCGAGAAGTAACTCCTTTTAACTACTCCAGGTCAGGTCAGGATAATCAAGATCAATCTTGCTACTGGTATCACGTAACCCAGTACCACCTGCCACAAGCCCTGCTGCCTTGCTGAGTGCTCTTCTTAGGCAAAGGCTAGGAGAAATAAACTCCGACTAAAAATTTCCCTGCCTTGGGGCTCTTGGTTGAGTAAAGGCTAGAGATGGTGTCTCGATAAAAACACTCATCTTGGGCAGATGATAATTACATCCAGCTAAACATCCCCTGCCTTGGGGCACTTGGTTGAGTAAAGGCTAGAGATGGTGTCTCGACGTAAATACTCATCTTGGGCAGATGTTAACTGCATCCAGCTACTGTCTTGTAGAAGGCCTCCTAGGCAAAGACTTAAGGGGTAAGCAGAAAAATTCTGCTAACCAGCCTCGAACCCCTTCTTTATCTATTAGGCTAGCATAGATGTAACCTGTGTTACATTGTTTTCTGCCTATGATGATGAATGCTGGATCTCCTTGACTCTATTCATAGAATTTTGCTTATGCCTCCTTGATAATGGCTATGCAACTCTTCCTGTTATCTCCATATGAGGGTACAGCTCTAAAACTCAATTTAATGGTTCTGAGGCCGGCTGGTAGTAAGGTTTCCTCTGT